AACCAGAGCTTCATCTCAGACAAACAAGTAGAGAGGTGTGCACATGTACACATGTGTTCATGCCACCATGTACATGGGAAGGTCAGAGAACAACTTACAAGAGAGGGTTCCAAGATGGGTGGCAAGCATCTTTATACACTAAGTCCACTCACTGGCCCAAAGAAGTCTTTAAGAGAACAAAGAGTAGATAAGAAAGTCTGTGTCATCTTTGTCCATATGGATCTGATGTGAGTGGGTCTCTATCCATCCTTTGGGGCCGTCATTGCTACTCTTATAAAAGAAAGCATTTAATTGGGGCTTTCTAATAATTTTAGAGGATTCATTCATTATCATTATGGTGGGGAGCAGACAGGAATGGTGCTGGAGGAGGAGCTAAGAGCTTTACATCCTGATCCACAGACAGCAGGGAGAGAGAGAGACACTGGGCCTGGCATTGGCTTTGTAACCTCAAAGCCGTCCCCCAGTAACACACTTCCTCCAACAAGGCCACACCTCCTAACCCTTCCCAAACAGTTCTACTCCTGGTGACTAAACATTTGAATATATGAACCTATGAAGGACATTCTCATACAAACAACCAAGGCACTGCGAATACCCCCAGGAAAGGGACTTATCAGAGGTTACCTTTGGCCTTTCTCCTGGCCCCAAAGAGGGAGTGGATGCCGACTTTAGTTCCCAGACACTTCTGCTGCTAGTCAGAAAAATGAGCTCTGAGAAAGCACATTTCTCCATCTGTTGAGACCCAAATGTCTTCAGCTCAAAATATCAACTCTGGAACTCCAAGTAAATCCCCACACCTGTTAAAGCATAATTTAACAAGAGTTGAGGGGAAGAAGAGATTAGAAGTCATGACTCATGCAGATATAGAATTAAAATGTCTCAAAGACTTTTGTTTAATTCATTTAATAATGAGAGAACCAGTGGTAATTCAGGAGACATTGAGCATGCATGTGTGTTCACGTGTGTGCGTTTTGCTAATAGGAATAAATCAGTGGAATAAAAACACACAAAATCAACCAATACCAAGGAACAAGAATCAATGCATCTCACCATCTCATTTCCACCACAGAAAAAAATCTGTATTTCTAGGGAAAATGGTTGTTTGCATTTCTATATGCCAGAGCTGAAAAAAAGAAAAAAAGAAAGAAAGAGAGGAAGGAAGGAAGGAAGGAAGGAAGGAAGAAAGAAAGAAAGAAAGAAAGAAAGAAAGAAAGAAAGAAAGAAAGAAAGAAAGAAAGAAACGCAAAGAAGATGTGAGGTCAAGATAACTCCACTCAATGATCTTGTGTGTTTTTCCCATTTCAAAGTCTCGCTTTTTTCTGGCAGATAGGCTGGCATGTCTTCCTATGGGTGGTTACTTTGCAAACCTTTGGGTAACTTTCCAGAGAGGTTCATTATCCTGTCTTGTATTTATCAGTCCCATGACAATACAGCTTCCACTGTTAAGTAGATGATGTCCTGGTGGAAGGAAAACATTCTTGCCTTTGTTTATATGCTGCCTTTAACATCCCAGAACATTCCCAGGGCACTGCCTCCTGGCCCTTTGTCCTGAGCAATCATGTCCTGAAGCCATTTGGTGGCCCGCAGGAAGGGATTCTATATTGGGATATAAGGAGTGACAGGGAGGGGGGCATGTTAGACATTCTCTGCGGGAAAGCAGTACAGGTAGGGAGAGGGGTTGTCAGAATAATTGTATTGAAGTAATAGAAAGTGGGTTCCTCACTGTTAACAAAAGCAGTTTGGGAGAAAACCAGACTTAGTCTTAAGATACTGCATAGGAGAGGGGACTCAGTTCGATATTGAGAGATGCACTAATAAGTAAATGCAGGTGTGTATGCACTGGCCTGAGTAACTACACAGCCCCAGTCCATCCACCGAGGACACTGGCAGCAGCAACATCCCAGTAGCAATATGTGTACCCAGAGTCCCTATCTTGGTTTCTAAATAAGGCTCGACCCTTCAAGGAGCCAGAACTCAGAGAGATGGTGGATTCTAAAGGCCAAGCAGGCAAAATCGATGATTCTGGGAAAATTGATCAGTGCCTGAAAGCATGAAAGTCCTCAGAGGCCAATGGGGTCCGCTGAGGCTCAAGGGAATCAAGGTCAGCTTGAGGCTGTGCCTACTGCCAAAGATGGGGAAATCTGGGCGCAGAAGGATCAGGAGACCAGTAAGATAGCCCAACAGGTCAAGGCACTTGTCACCAGTTCAGTCCCTGGAATCTCCTTAGTAGAAGGAGACAGCTGACTCCACAGAGTTGTCCTCTGGCCTTCACACAGGTATTATGATTCTTTTGTCAAACTGTGTCCATGGTGGGAGGCAGGGGCTGCTTGTGTCTATTTCTTTATGAGAGAATGCACAGGAGTGTTGTGCCCACAGAAGCCAGAGGTATTGGATCTCCATGGAGCTGAAGTTACAGGAAGTTGTGAGTAGTCACCTTACTTAGGTGCTTGGAACCAAACTCGGGTCCCTTAGCCACAGAGCCATCTCTCCAGGCCCCGGAGTCTTGTTCTAGAGTCCCAACATGACAATCATGGTAAATACACTTGCCAAAATTCCATTTGTCAAGACTAAGAATGAGCTATTCTGTAAAGGACAGGCAATGGTGATGTGTTATTTCACCTTGTCTAACAAATGCGCCACTCTAGTGGAGGTCTGATGGTGTGGTGGGAGAGGCTCTGCTTGTGTAGGTATAGAAGCATGTGGGAAGGGTACCCTCCGTTCTGTCGTGTTGTGCACTGAAAACAGCTGTAAAGAATAACCTCTACTTTATCCTCAGTGTGCTTACTCTTCAGTTTCTGAACCATTCCATTCTTTCAACGGCTTCAAAACAAAGGTGTTTCCTCTAAGTCTACACTTTCTTCCAAGTATCTGTGAGACAGTTGTTATTTATTGTGTTTGCATCTTTAATTTTCCTGTTAAGCGTGTCCCTTTCCAAACCCCTCAAGGGGCAAATGATATCAGGGACTTTGTTACAATGGGTTTCTTTCTTGGGTCATCATGAGATAAAAAAGCACATTAGAGAATTCAAGAACCAATATGTAATGGCCTTTTGTTAACTGCCTTTGGTTTAAGTTGGGGTCTGGCAATGACAATTAATGTCACTGAAGTTTCAAAGTTCCCATAGTCCTCTTTGTTCTATTGTGTGCTCATAGGGTATACGTCATTAAATTTTGGATTGGTTTGGGATACTCAGAACATTCTACCATGAAAACATGATTTCAAATAGTAACTAATTTTCTATCAATCAATTAATAAATATTACCTAGTAGGAATAGAATCTCATCTAGAAGCAAGACAGTAATAGTCTGAGGCAGGAATTCCAGCAAGACTGGCTTCTAGCTCCCCAAGAAAAAGTGTGAAGAGATAGAACAGTGCCTCAGAGGTCTGGGAACTGGAGAAGGATGAGACAGGGAAGCAGGGATGGAGATGGAGGATGGGTCCGTGCGTCTCTAAAAGGTGGTGTGGTACTGAGTGGATCTAATGCTGATCTTAGTAAGAAAGCTGCATGGTGAGGTTCTGGTGAAGGATGGAACGGAACCCAGGGGAAGTGTGTCGTGTGTCTACTCTTACCCTCCGCACAACCCAGCCTGGCCCTGGCTCTTCAAGATGTTTCCACTGTCACTTCTAACTGTAGTGTGTGTGTGTGTGTGTGTGTGTGTGTGTGTGTGTACATATGCTTGTGTGTTTGTGCATGAGTGCGTGTGTGTGCACGCGCCAGTGTGTGTGCATAAGTGTGTGTGTGCATAAGTGCATGTGTGAGTGTGTGCATATACATGTGTGCATGTATGTATGTGTGCATGAATGCATGTGTGCATGTGTGTGAAATGTGTCTATTTCCACACACACACTAAACTCCATCATCTTTCAGTTGGATAGCTATAATCTCAGCATCAGCCTATCACCCACTCTGACCCTCGGAGATCTGTGACCCAGCCCCAGCAGCCAGAAGAACGTTAGGAGAGCACACGTCCTCTCTGGCTGCAGGCCCACCTCTGCTTCCTTGCTATTTAAATGAAGGTCAAAGTCTTCACTTTGCCTCCCCAGCCCCAGGTCAAGGCACGCTGGCCTGCTCACTACTCCATCACAGCCTCCGTCAGGTGCCTGGTTCTCACCCTAAACCCCCTCCCCTCCACACACACCCCGCCACCTCCGGCTCCACCTGATTCCCCTCTTCCTGCTCTCTGCTGACTCAGACCAGCTTCTCGGAGGCCTGCTATGCAGATCGGAGCAGCTAGTGTCCGTGACAGCACGGGTTTCATTTCATCTGCACCTCTCACTTGGAACTATTTATTGACCTCTTGAGATGTATTCTTCCAATGGACAGCAGCCCGTGCCCGGACAGCAGCTGGCTTTCAGCAATGCCCCAGCACAGTCCTGCCAGGGCCTCACGCTCAGGAACATCCACTACAAAAAGTGACGTGGGACACGTGCTTCTTGATGCCCTCAAACCAGGGAGGCCTGGATTCCAAGTCCATAGTAAAGATACACTAAACTCTTGATTAAAAAAAATAATAAAATCTGAAGGCTTTCTATAGAAGACTGTACTAGAACTGAAAGTTAAAGTATAATTAAAAGGGGGCTGAGGAAATATTTCTAGAGTTGACAGCTGGACACACGGCTTTGGCAGAATGCTTGCCTAGCATACGGTAGGTCGGTAGGTCGTAGGTTCAATCCCCGCCAGTTTGGCACTCATAGAGGGATGGGACGGTGGACAAAGAAAGAGAGGCTGGCCAGGGAATCCTAGGGAAAGAAGCTAGTGAGAGCATCCTAGTGAGCAGCCGTAGCCATGGCAGATGGTAATGCCAGGTCTCTGCACTAACGAGACCAAGGGATACGTGTGTGGGAACTGTGAGGGGGCCTGCCTGTGGTGCCAGGTTCCTATTAACCTTGTCCAAATGTCCTCTCTCTCTCCCTCTCCCCCCCTCTACCCTCTCTCTCCCTCTTCCCCCCTCTCCCCCCTCTCCCTCCCTCCCTCCCTCTCCCCCTCTCTCTCCCCCCAGTCGCTCCTGGGAGTGCACAGAATGTCAGCTGTCCCCTCGGCTCCTTCCCCTGTGGGAACATCACCAAGTGCTTGCCTCAGCAGCTCCACTGCAATGGTGTGGATGACTGTGGGAACCAAGCTGATGAGAAAAACTGTGGTGAGTGGGGAGCTGGGTCACAGCCAGCCAGGCCTGGCCACCGCCACCAGAAAGAGAACCAGATGCAGAGTCCGCGCTGAGAGTTGATTTGCTTTAATAACTACTTCGTGAGGTGATCAGAATCGGCCCAAGACACCCCAAGACCAAGTTCTCTGCACAGAGGAGATGTGTTTTCCCAGAGGGAAGGAGGACAGGGAATAAGAGACAAAGGCAGGAGATAGAGGGTGAGGGGGAAGGAAAAAGGAGCAAGGGAAAGGGGCAGAGACGTTTTCCCTGGAGGACTAAGGACTGCCTCTAGATAGGGAGGGGACAGGTGTGAGCCATAGGCAAACGGCAGTGTAGGTAGAGATCTCACGTACCCACAGCACTGAACATCCCATGAGGTCATCGTCGTCCCATTTCAGCAGGAAATAATTTTGAGACTACTACACCCCCCTTTCCCTGCTGTTGATATTACAGGGTAATTTACACCTGTAAGGGTTAGTTTTCAATTATTTAGGGCTAGGATTGGAAGGAGGCATTGAGACTTGGGCATCTCTTTCAGGTAAGTATAGGGTTTAGGTGATAGATATGCTTAGGATAGGATATAGGGAAATTATAATTTGTTTAACACTTATGTGTATATGCTTTCTATATGCTTGAGACAATTTAGTTTGTTTCAAGTCTAAATCTTTTCTTTAGACTAAAAGGGGAATTGTAGAAAGAGATCTCACATACCTGCAGCACTGACCATGCCCATTTAGGCGTGGTCACAGGTATGTTGGGGAAGGCAGAGATACAGGTCAAGGAAGGAGGGGTCACTCTCTCTCTTGGGGCTCCGGTGGATGCCAGAGACAAGCAGAATACTGATTACAGTTCTCAGCTTCTCACGTAAGTGATTTCTCCCTAATAAAATAGCATAAGACATCCCTACACTGTGTATGGGTTATAAAGGGAAAAGGGGAAACCCCGTGTTAGGATGAGTCAGTTTGATTGGACAGGTTAATTAGGTGAGTCAAAGGGGGGCTTTTGATCGCTGGACTTCTATACTTTGGTAGCTGGACCTTGGTGGTCAGCCTCAGGAGAAGGAAGTGCCAAATAAGGGAATAGCCCTGGTGGCTAGCTTTAGGAATGCTTAGCAAGGCAGAAGGAATGGGGGAGAAGGGCAAACATACCAGAACCATGTTTGCCATGCTTGGCCCTACTGGAGTCCTCTGCCTCCCCAGTACTGTTACTACAGTGATGAACAGTCACATCCAGCCCCACCATCCTATAGGTAACAATGTCACCCTCAGTATTTCAGATAAGCAGTTGTTCGGCACATTCAAGTTGCTTTAAGCCAAGAAACCTGCAGAGCTCAGGGTGTCAAAACGGAGACTAGGGTTTCCAGAGACTGAATCTAGAAACTGCATGATGCATGCTTTTGAGGACACTTCTGAACCGCTGTGTGCCTCAGTTTCCCCGTTTTGTAGAAAGGTTTAACGATTGCACCTACACAATGAGACTTTGGGAAGGTAAGGGATCAGGAAAGTGTCAGGCAGAGGACCAGGTCTCACAGGACTCCCTTAACACAGCCAGGAGGAATGCAACAATCCCTGAAAAACAGAACTCTCTTAATATAGCCAGGAGGAATTCAACAATCCCTGAAAATGAAAGTAGGTCAGGGAGGCTTTCTTGTCCCAGCAACGACTGCCCTACTGCCCCGTAAAGCCAGGGAGAGAGGCTGTTGGCCAAGTCCAATGTTTAGGACGACAGCTTGCAGTTGATGCTTTTGTTCAAATTTCTGAAACTTTAAAGTATAAATTTATCAAAACAACTTGAATGCCCTAAAGCTGGTTCACTGCAAAAAAGGAATCTGTTCATCAATATGCAAGTTAATAGTATTCTCACTTGTGGGAAAGCATGGTACTATTTTTGGAAGACGGAAACGTAGCTACAATGTTAACATTGGGTTCACTGTGTAAATGATAAGCCTGCGGGAAGCCATTCCAGTTTTACAAAGCACCACCCTAACGAATTCAGCTTCCTTTACAAACAGAACTGGAGGGAGACAAAGCCTAAAAACCTCCAATCTGTGTAAACTTCATCCAGTTTATATCATAGAACTAATGTTTGAGCCTCGAGAAAAAGGTCATTTCTTGTAAATGAATCTTATAATCACAAACCTAAGTCATCTTCATGAAGGGGTATAAAGTCGCTATTGTCATCCGACTCCTTGCATGTGGGACTTCAATAGACAAGCAAAGGGCTAACAACAGTTCTCAGTTTCACTCCCTAAGCCTCCTCTGTCTGAGCGTCTCACCTGGGCTAAGATGCCAAATAGCAAACTGCAATTTCTCTTATTTAGTGACAATTATCACCTGTTTGATTACCATGCCCCGTGGACAGAACAGAAGCTGGATTTAGGCAAGCGGTCGGTCACTGAGCCACGCCCTCCACCTTCAAGGTTTTAGTTTGGTCTGGTTTGGCTTGGCTTTGCTTTAATTTGATTTGATCTGATTTGGTGTTTTGTTTTGTTTTGTTTAATACCTTTCCCTGATTGTATTTTCATAACTTCTCAGTTTGGAATACTCGCTCTACATAGGTAAGTACATCAAATGTAGATTCTTAAACTAATGAGCGAAAAGCACACTTACCTTTGAGTGAGCAGACAGCAAACATTTAAAGAATAGCATTTGCAAAAATAACCAAATATCACACTGTTCTTAAAAATTAAAATGTAGCTGTGACCTGCATGCCGGCAGTCCCTTCCCTCTGCTCCTGCTCGCTATCTGGACACAGTCCTAGGTGGAGTCCCAGTGGGGGGGAGGGTTCCAGGAAGCAGAAGCCTGTCTCAAATTCACCAGTAAAAGCAGGTCTTCAGCATAAAAGAAGCTCTAGCTTTAGTGGTACTCTCCAAGAACCCATATTAAAGACTAAAGACAATAATAAACATCAGTCCTTGTGGTGATAATCTTTAGTCAGGCACTTTCCTCAGGACTCCCCAGTCAACAGCTTACACAAAGACAGTAAGGCTTTGAACACAGCTGGCTCCACCTCCAAGGCTCTACCTCAATGCTGCCATGGAGGGTGGAAAACGACCCTTCTTCTCCATGTCGGAAAATGGGATAAAAGGGTGCCTATGGCCACAGGCCGATGAAAGGGTTCAGGGAAGGCTGGAGACACAGGTTAGCACTCAAAAACACTTGCTATCCTTGCAGAGGTTCCAAGTTCAGTTCCCTGCACCCATGTCAGGTGCCTCAGAACCAGCTCCAGCTCCAGAGGGTGTGACTGCTTCCAGGGCCAACACACACACACACACACACACACACACACACACAGAGAGAGAGAGAGGGGGGGGGGCGCGGAGAAAATCTGTTTAAGAGGATTAAATGAGATGCTACATGGCACGTGTTTTGCAGAAGACAGATATAATGCATTTGTGCCCCCCCCACCCCGCCCTGCCCACGCTGGTGTGTGAGAATCCTACCCTCTGCCATATTGAAACATTAACTCTGATCAGACCTCTAAGATATCCAAGTACAAGCTGCTGCTGTCTGTCCATGCCAGTGTAAGCTGGAACGCTCAGGAAGGACATAAGAATTTCATCACCATCTGTAGAACCAGGTGATTAAAAGCTAGGAGCTCAAGTTATTTCTGCTCCTCGTTGTTCTAACTCCCCTAGCCAGCTGTGGTTTTTTAGTTCTTCCCTTTCTGGTATCTGGATAATTTATGCTCCCAAAAGCTGCTCACTTTTAAGACATCCGTATTTAAATGCTTAATGCTAATTAAATTAAACCAGAAATTTGGTCCTTTTGGAATATATAAACTTCATGAATATTCGATGAAGCAGTATTAGAGCCATTTCCAACTATGTAAAAATGTTTTAGCCTGTATGGATGAGATGAATCCATGATTGTTTTCACAATTAAAAGTATATTTCAAATCAAATGTCCTTTTTTAGTGGAAGAGGACATTCTTCAATAATCAGAGAAAAATTCAAGATAAAACTTAACTCAAGCTTCCAGCATTCAGGAAGATCTCTGCTTGCAGACCAGTATGGCCAATAGTTACAATGACTAGTATTATCAACTTGACAGGATCTAGAATCATCTGGGAGAAACACCTCCGGGAACATCTGTGAGGGGGTTTCTAGATGGGGTTAAGTGAGGTGAAATCACCCATCCTAAATATGGAAAGCATCCTTCCATGCCTGAGGCTCCAGCTACATGAGGAGGAAGTGAGCTGTGGGCAAGCTCTGACCTCTCTGTTTCCTGAATAACATTACAATATGACCAGCTGCCTCGGACTCCTGCTGCTGAGTCCTGCCCCACCAAGTTGGATTGCACCCTCAAGTTGTGAGCCAAAAGAAACCCCTCCTTCTTTAAATCGCCTTTGTTATATTTTGTCATATCAGTGAACGTTGAAGGGAGCTGACACAGGAGCTAGAGAGATGGCTTAGCAATTAAGAGCACTTGCTGCTCTTCCAGAGGACCAGAATCTGACCCTAGTGCCTGCTTCAGGAGGCTGCAACTGCCTGTAACTTCAACTTCAGGAAATCTGGCTCCCCCTTCTGGACACAGACAGACAGGCAGGCAGGTAGGCAGGCAAGCATGCACGCAGGCATTTTTTTTAAGTAGCTATTACAGAAAACAGGTGCCGGGAAGTGGCATCTTTGCTGTGATAAATATGATCTTATGATTTATCAGCTTTTAAGACTGGTTTTTTGGAGGAACGTGGAACAGTTTTCAGGTACAGATAAGGAAGTCCTAGAATACTGTAAGAAGAGCTTAATGGACCAGTGTGATGGGAGTTTGGGAGACCAGAATGCCAAGGGAAAGGCAAATAGGAGGCCCAGCTCCTGAGGTTTCAGGAAGAACTAGGCTAGAAGTCATTTTGGAAAAGATTCTGGCTTCATTCTGCCTGTGTCCTCATCTTAACCCTGATCAAGCCTCTAAGACATCCAGGTATGTGTTGCTGCTGTCTGTCCATGCCAGAGTCGTCTGGAACACTCAGGAGGGGCATCAGAATTTCACCACCAT